TGATACGGGATGTATGTCCGGCCGCCGTGAAGGTCTCGGAGTCGTGTTAGTTTTCAGGATTAATTTACGATGTATTATTCATACACCGATGATTATTCCCGCGCGCGAGGATTATTCATACAACGTTGTTATTGGCGCGATCGTCATTAGCCGAGTTATTACTCGATTAGGGGGGGAGGGGAGGGGCAGAGGGAAAGAGAGAGGAAGAGGGACAGAGTCACCGATTAATCAGGCTATGGTAATTATCAAGTTCACCAGGCCGCGGTCTGGCCTGTTTGCAGAGGGCCAGGCAAATTGGCTGCCAGAAGAATGTAATTTCGACCGGTGACTCTGCAGCGACATACTAATTACACGTTAAAATATATCGCCAGCAAGCCCGCGCATACGTCCCGTCGATTTTATACGGGGAAATTTAATTAAACCGAAGCCCCCTCCGGCCCTGCGATCCGTATAAAACGCAAATTCGACGCGGAGACACTTTACACAGGATATTTACCAGCCTGTCCCGCACCTTTTCACCTGTAACACAGTCCCGGGAGCACGTTGTTAAATTAAAAACCGGCTTTCAAGATTCAGGAAACAGATAGCCGGCGATAAACTCGGTGAACCGTGAGTTACAAGGGTTCGTGACTTTACCGATGCCCGGCAACATTTTCCTTGACCCATACAAAACATCCTGCGGCTAATTGTACGACGCAATCGGGGAAAACCATTGCGCCCGCGAAATTGTACGGGAAATGAAGAGTAAAATTAATTTGGTACCCCTTGTGCACGCGTTTTTCCAGAAAAATCATACATGCCAGTCTATTTTCAACCGAACTGCGGATTGAAATCGGTCTGCCCTTCGCTTTAGATTGAAAGAGATCACTAAAAGTAGCGAAGAACTAGTTTACACGTGGAAAACTTCGTTTTATCTCGAAAAAACAGAAGACAGAACGTCCTCTCGTGATTTATGCGCAGGGGGTTAATAAAACCGACGAATAGTAAAATTCGGTCATGCAACGGATGGGAAGGGAATTTGATTGACAAGCGGCCGGAATGAATGAAGAACAGCAGCGAGGAAAATTCTCGGGGAAATCAAAGGCAAATATATGCGGGCCGGAATTTACCTGAAGGCTTAACAATCGCTGAAAAAGTTCCGCCGGTCTATTTTCCATGGGATCGCGGGGACGGTTAAGTCACACAGAGACGCCGATCTCTGTGGAGAATGATCGATACACGGCCGCCGGGTCCCCGCGGTACGGAGTCAGCGCGCGGGCAATGTTTACGCTGACACGATACCGCACGGCAGACGTGTATTTGCGTCACCGCCGGGGGGAATAGACGATATAACGTATATAGACGTTAGCCAGAGCATCGCTAATTCGCGTCGACGTAGAAACGAGCCGGGGCTTTGCGACGCGATCGTCACGCTACGCCGATCATCAAACCCGGAGCGCAGCGCGTTTCATCGGCCGGCTAGACCATCTTTATGGGGCCGCGATAAGGGAAGAACGCTAGATTCGACGCTAAACTCGCCATTATCGGGTCAGATAATGTCCGCGGACGATACGCCGCGCCGCACGACCTCTCTTCCGCCGTAGAGGAATATCCCGTCGATCGGCTTACGTGACCCGAATCGACTAATTACGCGGATTCATAAATGCGCGTTCATTATCAGATTTCGATATTCTTTAAATTGATCTACGTTATGCGCCGGTGTAATATGGTACGTAGAACATTTTTGAAATAGTATTTAACGACTTGTGTGTAGATCGGTTAAACTATTTTGCTACGGTTTTAAGAATTACCTAGATTTAACGTGGATTATTCAAGATTCGAGGTGCAAGGTTTTAAAATATTTGCCTTGTCCCAGTTGCTCGTGAATAAAGAAGTAATTCTTGTGATTCTAATAATCGGAAAATATTACACAGTTCCAATTTGTTCGCGGAGATGGACGAACGAGCTCGAGTTCCCGTTTAATTTGATCTATCAATAATTCCCCGTCGCCATGTTTGTTTAATAAACGATTCCTCCGTTTTACCGTGTCATAATATGTGTACCCACGCGAAATACGTATATTAACGATACGTCGAACGAATTTCATTAGCAAACTTATTAATTGTACCCGTATAATTGTTATCATCATTGGAATAATTGATTTCATTACATTATGTTCGTTCATTTTCTTCCTCGCCGTATGCCATTCCGTTTCGAAGAGTTCATTTCAAACCGAACCGACGCATCTAACGAGCATCGTTTCGATTCCAACCCGTTCTACGCGGATTTTGTATTTAAAATCGTACAGCTATAATAATCCAAAATTAATAACTAGACGATGATTCCGCTAACTCCGCTTCCGGTTGAAATAATGGTGCTCAGAAACGATAGGGGGAAACGTAATTTGAAAAACGTGACCGGCACGCGTTCCGATTCTACCCGCCGCTTCATTTTCGCGTTGTTACGGTTCTCCGGTGAACGTTTCGGGAAGTCGGATATTGAATTTCTGCACGGGAATTCCATCGCGACAATTATCGCTCGTCCGTTCCTATCGGAATCGTTCGAGCAACGCTCCACTGTTTTTTCTGGGGAAATAAAGAAGAACGGACGCACGAACGTTTCTCGTTAGATCGGGCTCGAGTGGTGACGTGGAATCGACAGTTGAACGATACACGCTGTAAAAGTCGCTTCCGATTCGGGGGCAGCGCTACTCGCGCGAATCCGACCGAGCGCCCACCCCTCGCGCACCCTCTGCCCTCCTCGTTTACCATTTTTGCCCGCGGTCGTGGCAAAGTTTTCCGCCATGCCGCGACGCGACGAGACGCCATGTGCTCGGGATATTATTATTAGTTTAGTTTACCCTTCTTGCAAGGAACAACACAACGATGACGAGAACGGCAACAACAACAACAAAATAACTCGACGGGAAAAGAGCGTAAAATATATTTTCCGCCTTCATACGGTTTTTACTTAACGCTTCCAGCCAGTACGCGGGAAGTCCCTTTTTCCAGCGGTCTGTTTCCTTGATTTACTTTTGCCCGTGTTCGCGCGGCCGGCCGGCCGGCCGACGAGAACAGGAGGAAAAAAATTGTATACGTTCAAACATAACGAGCCCGACGCAAGGAAGTTTTTTAATATCCGTCAACGTTCCGCCGTCGCGTCGCGCCGCGTCGCGACGCACTAATAACATCCCGTTTGAAAGTGATATCGGAACGCCGAAGCCGTTATTGAAAGGATTACTCACCACCGACAGTCCCTTTTCGATCAGCAGACAAAGGCTCACGGGCACTGTGGAATCTGGAACAGAAAAAAAGTCCGAAACAAATAATTCGATGATGCTGCACCGTACGGTTGTGTCGAATTTTCAACGATACGCACTCGCCATTGTGTCCCTGCACAACTGCGACGTGCGTTCTTTTTTTCCTTTTTCCGAAATGTCGAGGTTGTACAGGGTCAGTCACCTGGACCTAACCTGAACCTCGAACACGGATACCTAGGATTTAACCTAGGTCTACGCCGCGTTTATCTAGATTTCAATCTGTACACAGTCAGAATATAGCCAACTTCATCAGGATGTAACCTGAACCCGATATGTATCTAATCTAGACTTAATTAGGATCTAGTTTAGATAACGCTCGAGTTCAATTTAGATCCGACTTTGATCTAATTTGGGTCCAGTTGAAATTCGAATACAGTCAAAAGTTAATTCGGACCTAACTCGAAGATGATCCTGATCCTATCTGGATCCAACTTAGATCTAATTCAGATGTAATCCAAACTTAATTTAGATCAAACTCTGATCTGTGTCGGACCTGGATCCATCTTTATGCCGGTTTTTCCATGTGCCTGGCAGGAAGGAAGTGACAAGACTCGAGCACACGTCCTTACACAACAGGGGCAATCGAAAAGGAAGGCAAAGGGAACGAAACGGCGAGAGCCGTGCTCTAGCGAGAGCTGCACGGCGAGGATAAACGCTGCCAGTGATCGAGAGCCCCGGCCGAATGGTCGAGAGGGATAACAGAGAAGAAAAAAGAGGGAAGAGGGAAAAACCGATATCGTGGTACCGGCGACGAAAGCAACTCGCCGATAAATCAGCCAAAATAGCGCTCGCTACAAAACGGAAGTTTGATTGGACCTCGTGTACCTGCGAGTTAACGCGGGGCGAACCGGTTTCGTGGAAACGATAACGGCCCTCGCCGCGTCTTCGACGATTTAGGGGAAAAAATAAAATGATGTATCCCGTTTACGCTGCACCGCTCGAATTTTACGATCGCCGCGAGTTCGCGAAACGAGCCGGCGAAATTGATGCGTGCAGCCCTTTAATTTAATGGTCCGTACATTCTATGAATTACTAATTCATAAGACATCATTGGAAATAAAAATCAAGCTCAATTGAATCAAATGAAACAATAAATTCGCTAATTTATAGCATGACCGTCCGTGAAAATAATTCTTATTAACGAATAATACGAGGTGCAGTTGTCATGAATTTCATTTCTCTTTTCGAAGTTCATCGCGCACGGGGACACTGCATTATTAACATTAATGTATCGCACGCCCATCAACTTTATTTAAATTCCGCGTACTTCATAGTAATTAATGGATATTTAATATGTTGTAATATTTATGAGGCGTCGTTACGGCGCTCCGTTTCAATGGAATACATTATACGACCAGCGCACAATGCGCAAGAAATTTCAAATAACCGTTCGCGATAGCAGTGCGAGGTGAATGATTAAAATAGGCGCGGAAAAGCTTCCCAAGAAGTTTCCGCGAGATACGCGGTCATCGGGACTGTCTGGCCACGGATGAGCCGCGACTACTGATGCCGGCTGCGGTGGGTATTATATCAGTAGATACGGATCCCCTTTGGTCAGACGGACGTCACCGCGGAATATTAAATACGCGCCGCCGGATGAACGAAATTTCATTTATACTTATCTCTCCTCCGATAAGAACAGGAAAAATCCAATCTGCCTGAAAAGCGGTACCATTTCAATTACAAGCGAAACCTCGCCAAACTTCACCGTGTAAAATTCTTCCGCGGCATTCCTACAGAAATATATATCCCTTACGAAATTTTGTTTACCGAAACGACGTGCTGCATACCTTTTTTTATCGATTCCCGATAGCCAATTGTAGAATAAAAATCGTACAAGCAACATTTCTTGTATTCCGTGAAATACGGCGGCGTTCCATTTCGAAAACCGAAATCGCCCCGCGAACCGATGGCTCAAATGTGGCTAAAAAATTCATTGAAAGTTCCAACGTAGAAATACGTCGGGCGACGGGGTTCGGTTGGGTTCGGCTAAAAAGCGATCAAGGAATTTTACGTTTCTCGGCGGGTGGCATTAGAAGTTCGTATCATATATAATGAAAGAAATATGCATTACCTGGTCGGGAGGTAAGAGAGTCACGTATCGAGCAAATGTTCCGAGTAATCGATCAACGTGCTCGACATTTTTCAGAAATAGGAATACCCCGGAGAGAAATGAAGTTAGCCGACGTTCGGCGACGGGCCGGGACCAGTGTCCCGGTGCCATGCAGAAATGAATCGGAACCGAGACGTCTATAAACAGAGATTTTATTCCGCGTTCCTCCTTTTTATCATTCTTTAAACAGTTTTCGGGATCCACGGGGCTAAGACACTTCGGCAGATTACACGGGGGCCAGACGCAGAGGAACGTCCACTGCGATAGCGCAGGTATAGACGTACGATTTCATTTCGAGCGGTCCGTCCTCCCGCCCCTTCCTATCCGCGTATTCACCGAAGTATCGTTCGCTCTCAGATAAAATATGGCGAAACTTAAATAAGTTTAAGAGATGCAACCGCGCGATAGGCAAACTCGCGAAATTGGGGACCGCGAGATCTCCGTGGAAACGGGTCACCGACCCGGGAGGCAGGGCAAAGTTCAAAAATAAAGGCGCTCGTTACGCTGCCGGTATTAACGTCGCTTATGTCGTAAGATCTACTACCGAGTTGATCGGTGGATATAAAACATTCGGTGCATCCCTCGATCTTCTTATTAGATATACGATTGTCTGGAATTATGATACACTTAAGCATTTCGATAGTGACTTTGTAACTTTGTAAGTTTCATTGGTAATTTCGTACCGCATGAATTTTTATGTTTCATATATTGTTACAGCCTCATCTTTTCGCTCCTCTTTACACCGCTGTCACAATAAAACCGCATTACTCGAGTCTCGGGGAGAAATGCAAATATTTTTAATTGCAGGCGAGTGTGTTCATTAACGCGATTCTTCCCTTTTTCCTATTACAAAACTGGACGTTACGCGAAGATGGATTCGGATTCTCGAGACTACCGGCGCGAGGAATGTCAGACATTGAACGGGAAAGTTTTCCAAAAAAAAGGGAGGGGCGTGACGTCGCACCTCGAATTAACTTCGGCCAATTTTCCCGGTGGGAGCATTCTTCGCGGTGTAATTCCCGCGTCGCCAGAAAATGTAAAGTAGGCAATTAAGCGCGAATTAGCAACAATTAGAAGCCTTTCAGCGAACAGCCGGGGAACCCGAAAACTTTCCTCCCGTTTTATAACCGGGCCAACGTCAGCGTAATATCATCCGCGATCGAATTCACGCTAGAACTAGCAGGAAACGTCAAAGAAGTGACGTTTGAAAATTGAAAGAGCACACAGCCGGAGCGGGGAGCAACGCGAGAAGGTGCCGTGCGCCGGTCGGGCGGCCGGAGGGACAGGGGGACGAGTAATATTCCGGTTAAACTTCCGTCAACTTCCGATTAGTCATCTGCATAGTGATCGAAATAGTTCTCCGCCGATAAACTTATTCGTTTTATTTCGCCGCGGTCGACGGGTCGAACGGAACCGCCGCTCCATATTATCCGCGAAATATTCGATGCCGGAAAAAAGAAATCCTCGATTCTTCTATAATTACACTCTCCAGAAAGGTCCGTTAATTGGAATATCTTCAATGGATCCGTATCCGTGGCATATTATTAACGAAGTAACACGATATTCCGAACGTTAAACATCGCTTCAGCGAATTATCGAGGTTCACAATATAACGTGTAAAACTTCACGATATTACCGCTGTCGAAATTATAGATATAATCTTGCTAATAGAATATGATCATCGCTTCTGTACTAATGGCTTGCATTATCAATTCACAACTGATACGTTAATTTGCTAATATGTCATGATCCCGTTATATAGTCATAATATGCTTTTACAATAGTGTCGCTCGTCTACGTTGCCTGGGAAATCCGAATTGGCTGTGAAACGGAAACTCCTGTGCGCCGACTGGCCAAAAACGATGGGCTGGCCCAGCAACGAGCTAGATTCGCCCGTCGAATAGGCCACAATACGTATTCTTCCGCTGTCGACACACTGCTCCCGCAACGTGATTCGACGTCACCGGCCGAGCAAGGCTCCATTGGCCGCAGACGAATTTTTCGGCGTCGATGCGTAACCAGACTGTTCAGCTAACAAGAAATTCGGCCGAGGTTCATTCACCGTTCGCGAATCGAACGCCGCGCCGGGGAAAAGGCGCGGAAAGGTCCGCGATTGTTTCATCGTGTACCACGCGCGTTCACTCCGACTAATTACCGGGCCCTTTGAATCCGAACGCGTTTTCACCGGTCTCGTCTCTCCTTTTTGTTCATTTTCGAGCGTTTTTCCGGGCCGCGTCGAGCGCGATTCGAACTGCCGCGCTTTCATCGCGCTGAATTACACGCACGTGCGCCCTCCCCGCACGGCGAAAGACAAATAGACTTGATCGACGAGGCAAACGCGTTGCGATTAACGGAGCGCAGGGAAAAAACCCTGTCATTACACTGTCATCGATTCACTCTGTAAATAACGCGACCCTTTTCGCTGTAAACGGCTCGAGCCTTGTAGTTTTTCTAGACTTTTTTCAGAAGGGGCGATTCAACTTACAAATATCTCTGTCATAGTCTCGACTGTAATGGAACGAAGTTACTGGAAAACGATGAAGAAATAATATACTCGTAGTCGTGCATCGTTACGGTCTTCGATTCAGTGGAAGCAACATCGAATCATTGATAGAAATCCACGAGCAACCGTCTGATTCTTCAACGGTTCGAGAATCACTGAGCCATTCGTGTCAGACACTGGATATAGGTATAAATAACACTCTATCGGACAGCCTCGATTAAAAGCCAGTTACCTTCAGCAGCCGGTCCCGTCCAAATTCATTCACCGTGACCAATTAATCGACCACTTCCTCTCCGGTTAAACGTCAGATCTGTCCCGAAGATTTCGCAGTCGTACCCCAGGGATGTATCGATAACTCGACC